AAGGTGTGCTTTCTTTTTTCAGATGCCTGGGGAAATAAAAAAAAAAACCTGGACCACTTTTAACTAAGTAGTTAGCTTGAGGTTTGTTCATGTCACCCAGGTAGCATGAATTTGGGCTATAAACCTCACAAAAGCTAGCTTATGTTTACAAATTCTCAAGAGAAATTCACATCTTCTCTGCCCATGGCTCAGTGTTGAGGACCAAGATAGGCAGTTTTCCTTACTGATAAATCATGGAAGATTATTTCTAGTTTACTCTGGATGTAGCCCTTGGAAGATCCACCATCATTGTGTGTGTGTGCTGTACATATAGGTGTAAAGAATATCTTATGAAACACCCTACTTTGGGCAGGCCCTCGGCATCCCTGTAAGGACCAGCTTTGAGTAACTACATTCAAAGTTATCTATTTCAACAAAGTCCCACAGGGTGAGGGGCAGCTTTGGGGCTGGGAGGGTCTCATTATTTTTCCCTGCCCTCAGTTAACTTCTACATTCACTTAGCTCCTGGCTTGCATGTTCCTTACTTTTTGTTAGTTCATGGCCACATTCAAGTTGTTGTTTCTAGGTGTTTTCAGTTGGCTTTGGTGGGAATCATGTTCACCAACATTGCCAGAAAATACATTATTCATATATATTTTTGAGATCCTAACATTTCTAAGTTAAACTAAGCTCTGGTTTTATTTTCTAATATTAACTTTGTATTCAAGTGATATTAATCTCATAAAATGAGTTGAGTAACGTCCTCTCTTCTTCCTAACCTCCAAAATAATGTGCATGTGATAGAAATTATTGGCTCCTTGAAGGTTTAATAAACCTCATCTGTAAAACCATAGTGGCCTAATGTCCTTGGAAGAGCTGGGGGAAGATAAAACTTCTGATTAGTGATTCAGAATCTTTACTGTTATTGATTTATTTAAGTTTTCTCTTTCTTCTTGAATTAATTTTGATAATATTTCTCTAAAAAACTTAAATTTAAAATTCATTGCCATATAATTGTTCATAATACTCTGATACTTAAAAAAAATCTCTATAATATCAGAGATTATTACCCTTGTCATTCAGATTGTTTTCTTTATGAGTTTTATTAGAGGTTGGTCTTTTTTTTTTTTTTTTGAGACAGACCCTCAAGCTGTCCCCCTGGGTAGAGTGCCGTGGCATCACAGCTCACAGCAACCTCCAACTCCTGGGCTCAAGCAAGTCTCTTGCCTCAGCCTCCCAAGTAGCTGGGACTACAGGCACCCGCCACAACACCCAGCTATTTTTTTTTTGGTTGCAGCCATCATTGTTGTTTGGCAGGGATGGCTGGATTCGAACCCACCACCTTAGGTGTATGTAGCTGGCGCCTTAGCCACTTGAGCCACAGGTGCCGAGCCTAGAGGTTGGTCTTTTTGATTACTTTTGGATCTTGTTATTATTTTTAACTTATGCTATTTAAAAATTATTTTCTTCCTTCTTTAGGTTTTCTTTGGAGTCCCTAAGTGGAACTTAACTCACTTACTTTCAATCTTCCTTGTTATTCTATAAAGGCATGCGAATGGATCATGGTAGCAGTCTTCAACAAATCTTGACATATTCTTTGTCATGCATTTCCAAATATTTTGTAATTGTGACTTCCTCTTGATTTATTAGAGCATTTTTTAAAGTTCTCAAGCACAGTGAAAAAAATATTTAATGCTGATCTTCATTTTACTTACTTTGAGGATAGAAATACACCTGTATACACATTCTTCAAAATGGTTGAGACTTTCTTTGCAATCTAGTATGTGATCATTTCTTGTAAATGTTCCATGTATACTTGAAAGGATACACAGCTCCTATTCCCTGGGTAAAGGGTTCTTCTGATCTTTAGATAAGGTCTAAATTTGGTCTTCAAAGCGTCTGCATTCTTGTTTTCATCCACTGCATCTATTAGGTTCTGGTAGAGTTGTTTAAAATCTCCCAATGTGATTGTGGACTTGTCAATTTTTCCTTTAAATGTTTTTTAGATTTTTTTTTATAGACTTCTTAATAATCATGGCTATGTTGTTTGGCACCTAGTTTAAAATGTTTTTATTGTCTCATTAGTTTCTTTATCTGTATTGATTTTTTTTCTTAAATTCTATTTTCTTACACAATTAATATTGCTTTTCACCATTATTTTTTTGGGGGGAGTGGCTTCATATATCTTTACAAGCTTTCTACATAGTGTTATTTAGATGTGTCTCCTAAAAGCAGCACATAGCTAGATTTCCCACCTGTATAGTCTGTGTGTGTGTGTGTGTGTATATATATATATATATTTTTTTTTTTTTTTTGAGACAGAGACTCAGGCTATCCCCCTCGGTAGAGTGCCATGGCATCACAGCTCACAGCAACCTCCAACTCTTGGGCTCAAGCAAGTCTCCTACCTCAGCCTCCCAAGTAGCTGGGACCACAGGCACCCGCCACAACACCTGGCTATTTTTTGGTTGCAGCTGTCATTGTTGATTGGCGGGCCTGGGCTGGATTCAAACCCGCCAGCTCAGGTGTATGTGGCTGGTGCCCTAGCCAATAGAGCCACGGGTACTGAGCTTTAGTCTATTTTTGTTTATGATGAATACCAATTGTTTAGATTTATTTCCATCATTATATTTTATATTTTCTAAATGTAATATTTTTCTTTTGTTTCTGTCTCTTTCTCCTGTCCCCCTTCCCCTCCTACCGGACTGAAGCATTATCTACATACTTTTGCTTGCCCTGCTCCCTTCCTCCTTCCCTCACCTCCACACAATACACACAGATTGGAAAGTTGGGGCACAGACTGCCAGCACAGCTGCCTGCCTGATATCCAGTGTCTTCTTCCTACTTTAAAACAGGATTCTTTTATCTAGCTGGGTGCACTGCTGACCCAAATGAACGCACTACCCAGCTTCCCTGGCAACTACATGTAACAAATGGGATATAGCCAAGTGCTGTGTGAGCCCTCTAGGAAGTCTTTCTTTAAAAGAGAAGTTCCAGCTGTCACCTCAGACCAGGAGGATAAATGCCAAGCACTAGGTCACTAGAGGAGGAGGACAGAAGGAACATGGGTCCCTAATAACCTTGTGGAGCTACCACACCAGCCCCAGGACACCTTCTTCTGTACTTCAATGACAGGAGAGAGAAATAAACATCTCTCTTATTTAAGCCACTGATATGAGGATCTCTTTTATTAGAAGCTGAATGCAATTCCTGATTCAGAAATTACAGAAGGTTCAAGAATTTTATTTCTTTAAAAGGCACACTTAACTACCAGTCTTAGAAAATAAAACAATATTTTTTCTAGATAATTAAATCCAGCTATATGAATAAATTACATTTCATAAAATTCCATGTTCACCTCTGCTTCTTGTGTCACATGCCTGCCTTCCAGGTCACTTTTTTTCCTATAGGAAGCCGGTTGCGGCTGACGCGCAGAGAGAAACTGAGACACGATAGTGGAGCGTTCTAAGAGCATGCTCGTCTCCGGTACCAGCATCCTTACTTTTGCCCTTCCTCAGATTAGATTACACAAGCCAACAAACTGTGCTTACTGGCTGTCACTCGAGTCCAAAGAATACTGACAAAAAGGGATAGAAAGCTACTGAACAAATGTGTTCCTGTGGTATTTGCCTAATTTATCCATAGTGAAGTAACCAGAAATGGTATAGACTGAAATTCTTAGAGAAGAAGTTGATTTTAAAAAAATGATAATGAAGAAGAAAGTACATAGAAAAGAACCACAAGAGAAAAGATAAAAACGAAGAAACTAAAAATAACAAGGCCCAGAATGCTGCCTCATTTATCAAACTTGTCAACAGCAGCAGTTAAGAGCAGAAATTTTTTCTTTAAGGAAAAAAACAGACCAATGTTATCAAGTAGTATCAGTCCCCAAAGGAATAATAAAAAGCAGGAATAAATGTCAATAATGTATCTGAAATTCCTCTTAAAACTCTCTGGTCATTTTCAATTCAGACACAACATACAGATGGTACAATCTCCAATTCAATTGATTGAGTTTCTGTTCACTTATTTAACCCAGGCCCTGTTTCAGCACATGGCTAAAGTTCATTCTGCCAGGCATGCTCCACTTTATATATTTTTTAAAATCTAAGATTTTCCCCTTGACCATGACTGTAGAATAGAAAACTCAGACTTAAGAAATACATTCATCTGGCACACAAATAATCATTTCACCCTGGCAAGTTTAAAAATAAAAAAAGCAGGAAGGTAATTCTAACATTCACTTTAAATATATATGCATTCTTTGATTTAATTATTAATAAGTATGATTACCTACAAAATAAATCATAGCTACATTCTCTATAATATGCCAAGAGGGATTCTATGAGTTCAAATGGATATTTACATTTTTTCAGTATTAATTCATTTTATTGTACAAAATGCTACTCAACTCAAAGCAGCACATAGCTAGATTTCCCACCTGTATAGTCTGTCTATATATATATATATATATTTTGAGACAGAGCCTCAAGCTAATTTTAAAAAGTGCAAGGGGAAAATAATTTTAATAACTTCTTTCTTCCATGGCAGCAAGCCTTTTCTAACAAACTCTCCTTAGTGCAAATACTGTAGGCTTGAATTACATACAGTTAAACAACAAATCAAAACACCACCACCAGAGATTCTTCCTAGTATTGAGCTATTCCTCAATTTTCAAAACTATACAAAGACTTTGAGCTCACAGTTCTGCCTGGTGACTCTATTTATGAGACTCTCCAATGGGACCATTTATTTTACCATTATTTAAAAAACAGGAAAAAGGTGCCCAGAAAGGTATGGATAGAGCTATAGGAACCATCTGTTGGCCTCCAGGAGCTATGGCAGCCTGCACTCCACACCACTGACATCCCGAATGCGGAGATACACAAAGCTTATGATTTCCTACCATGCACCCAAATACTATCTATATCTCCCACTGCAGAAAAGACACTCTGCTACTGACTCTTTATATTTATACAAAGTCAAATAGTAAATGGGTATTTAAAAAAGAAAATAATTACCTTTGATGCAAGGTTGTCTACTAAAGCAATCATGGAATTTTTAAACAGAGTAGCCGCAGTCAGAGGTCGCTTGGTCACCTCTGTAATGCTCAGTTTGCCTTCAGGCCACATATTCTTCAACACAGGATTTGAACTGAGAAGCAGAGAAAGAGCAAATGTTACATTCAAGTAAGCGGAATAAAAACTGCTAAGCAAGGCTGCTGAACTGTATCCTGAGAATTTATAATTGGACTACAGACTGAACTCACAAGGCCTAATTGAAGAAATGATTCCATCCAGAAAATTATGCTGAAATATAATGACAGATACTGCACCAAAAATTGAGTGTTTTTCTCAAACTAGAGCATATTTAGAAAATTCTTTTAAAGTGACATCTATATTATTATTATTACCTAGGATCCCCAAAAGTTAACATGGCTCTTACTATAATAAACATATACGAACTGTTTTTTTACATTATTAAAAATGGGGACGAACCATGAGTAGTAAAATGATTCTCAATGTCAAGGCAGAAAACATGAATGTGAAAACATTTTCTAATTAAAACAAGTATTCATACAGAATAGGTAACACCAGAAAAAGCCAGTTCTAAAAATCTGATAGGAATACAAAATAACCATTTTTCCACTGTCTCCTAGTAAATCCTTTGACTGCAGTTGAATTTATGAACACATTTGTAGGTAGCATTGGCAGTTACAGTATTTTATTGATATGACAGCAAGACTGCTGCGATCCAATTCTAAAAATATATTTCAGGCCAATTTCCATGTTAAAAATTGCACATCCATTACTTGGCTCTGTGGAGATATTTCTAAAAACGTGTAGTGATCTCAACTATGATTTTCTTCCTGTTTCATTTTGGGTGCTTTTGATTTTAAAGTAATTGGAACTTGAAATGTTGCTTGCTTCCTGGAAACTTTTCTCTTGACAGAAAATTTTTTCTTTTTCTTCATTATATATATATATATATATTTATTATTAAATCATAAACACATAGATCATGTATACATTAATGCATTTATGGGGTGCAATGTGCTGATTTTATATACAATTTGGAATGCTTATATCGAACTAGTTAATGTAGCCTACACCTCATTTACTTAATTATTGTGTTAAGACACTGATACTCTATACTGAATAGATTAGACATGCACTCTTGCAATATGCACCATAGGTATAGTGCCTCCATTTACCCTCCCTCCCATCACCTCCTCATCCCTCCTTCATCCTGGGCTATGGTTGTGATTTATCTTTCATATGAAAGTGGGAGTAATTGTAAATTGGTTTCATAATAGTACTGAGTACATTTTTTCTTAAAAAATTAAGGGTTCAAAAAGGAAGAGTATTAACATGTGTGTTCCTTGCTACCATGTTTCCCCAAAAATAAGACACTGTCTTGTATTTATTTTTTTCTCAAGAAGACACACTAGGGCTTATTTTCAGGGGATGTCTTATTTTTATTAAGTATAATACAACAATCTACATTTATTCAAAACAGTTAAGTAATCTTCTTCTGAAACCTGACAGGGGGAGCCGACTTTGTTGGTAGGGCTGGTGCTAGTGATGTGTGAACTCCTTTCCCCTAGCTGTTCGCACATGCACAATAGGATGCCTGTGACAGCGGTTATCAAACGCGCACCCACACAAGTGGCAACAGCTGGGAGAAAGGAGCTGTGGCAGATAAAAGGTATTCCAGTCTTCCTTACTGCTCTGGGCCGAAATGCATGGCATGGCTGTGCAGATACGCTACATAGCCATGCCCATCACTAGGTCTTATTATCAGGGTAGGGCTTATATTTAACAAATGCATAGAAATCCTGCTAGGGCTTATTTTTTGGGTAGGTCTTATTTTTAGGGAAACATGGTAGTTGTGCTTACTGTTCCCATCATTTTATCTATTTCCTTTCTCTCATATAAAATTGGGAAACTGAACTGGTTTCCCAAAGCCCCTAGTACACAGGTGCTCAAAGTAATAGCTGCAAGATGAAAGAATGATTGACAACAGAGTGAAGAAGAAAAATGGTGATGAGAGGACTGGCTGGCTCCGTGAATGCAGACAGAGCCACACTCCTACCCTCACCCTCGCCAGCTGTGCCAACTACTGTCACAGGGGACTGGAAAGTACTGCAGAGAGCTGTGGCTTGTGCACCCAGTCTCTCCACTTCATACTTCTAGTCTATGATTTTCCAGTCATATACTTTTATCAATAAAAATGACTTCATTAATGTACCTGTTTTTCCTTAACTTTTCCATCCTCATCTTCAGGGGAAAGATAATTTAAGCCAATGGCTCTCAACATGGGACTTAGATGCTTTCCTAATGTTTACTGAATAGAATTTCCAGAAAGCAGAAAATTATACTTTGTACACTTTTCAAACTTCTGAAAATTCTGATCCTCAAAAACAATGAGGATCATTAGGTTTTAGTCTACAGAGTTTCTATCCCAAATTCATTTCCAACCTTAATCACTGTTGGAGACTATTCCCATAGTACATTATGGAGGGAGGAGGGAGGAGGTTGGAAATAAGGGAAATAATTAGCAATGAATGCACATTTTATATCAATTAATAGAATTGATATAAAATGAATCCAAACTGATATGATACATAGGGTTGCTTACAGAAAAGGAACTCTAAGACTTGCAGGTCATGAATGTAATATTAACAAGGTAACTTTCAAACATTTTAAATACCAGAAACTTTTCTTAAGGTTCTTAACCTTCTCTTAAAAGGGAAGCTCATCCAGAAACCTACTATGTATAACAGAGCGGGATGATCTTCTCTGGCTAACGAGTGTAGTGAGGAAGAAAAGCCTGTGTGCCGAGAATGCCACAGCTTGCTCCCTTCCTCCCTCTTGTGAGCACTTACATCGTACTGGGCATGATAAGGAATCTGATGTACAGCATATGGGAGGATGTGCGTAGGTTAT